TAGAATATAAAATGATGTGATAATAGTATGAATTGATTGGTAAATTAAATGATGATGAAATCTAAATAAAAATGATGTGATAATAATATAAAATAATTGGATAAGAAAATGAATTATTGCTATTGGATAAAAAAATATAAAAAAATAGAAAAGTAAAAATAAAAGAAAAAGTTTAAATAAATATTACTGCACTAAAATATAACATGATATAGTCAATGAAAGGTGAAATGGTAACAATATCTTAAAAGCCAGTAAATATCTTGTTACCAAAAAGAATAATAATTAATTTTTATCCATGTTTTTAGAAATAGTTCAACAACATGATTATTCATTCATTACTTTTGATAAAGATAGATTATCAATTATTAATTTAAAGAATAATTCTTGAACAAATACTTCAATACCTGATATTAATCTAATTAAAAAAAGTAATAGCTTAATAAGTTATCAAAATAATACTATATAGGAATCAATAAGAGACAAATAAAGATAACTTGAAGAATATAAGAAATTATTTGATAACATGTTAACCTTGTATAATTGAAAGTTAGATGATGATGACTTTTGTAAAAATTTTAATGCATTGATAAGTCACTCAAAAAAGCTATTAATGAATATCAAGAAATATTGCAAGTCTATAACCAACAAAATACATGGAAAATAAAAAGCTTGCTTTTTACTTGTATTGAGTATAGTATTTTTTTATATTTAGAAAATAGTGTATAATGTAAAAGAGGATTGGAAAATAATGTAAAGAATAATATAAAAGGAGAATTGGAAAATATGTAAAGAAAATGGAATAATAATAATAAAAAACTTTGTTGACATCACATTCGATCACCTGCCTATACATCGATAACTTGCCCGTACATTTTTACGTGAATTCTAACATCGGTAACCTGCTCGGACATTTCACGTGGATCGTAAATCACGTGTCCGAACATTTTTCTTCGCCATGGCTAGGTTACTAAAAATAAGCAACCCCCTACCTCATCATTTTAGATCGATTTTTAAGGGGGGTTGCTTATAATTGTGTACTTGCTTTTTATACTCAAATCTCCTTATAGTGTTCTGTTTTGAAAATGTGATTACATTTCGTTGGTGAGAAACCTGTATTATAAATTATACTTCAGGAGATAAATTGTGCTTTAGTCGGAATTACTATTCATCTGACCAGAATTACGAGGAAGTATGTATAATCTACCTAGACCGATTTATCTATGTGGTTCGTGTTCATCCGGAATATTCTTCTGTAATATAAATTAATGTTAAAGGTCGATTTTAAGGTTAGGGCTAGAGTTATATGTAAAATAGTCTCCTGTATTTTTTGCCGGGTTGATCAAAATTTACGCATTCTTATTGGTTGCTGATCACAAAATGCACCTAACCAAAATTGATTGAGATGCACTCGGTACATAACACGGGATCCATTTACTATCGCTATAAGCAGTGTGACAATGAAAAAATTCGCTGAAGATCGTCATTATATTGCATTCATAATTAACGTTAATAAAAAACAAGTTTCTACGCGAGCATACATCATTAATTTATACATGACATTGAATACAGTGAATAAGGAAATCAATCGGGGTCAAGAATCAATTATTTACTCTTTAATGGTTATCGTTGTTGGTCTTGGAAAAACGCTTGTTATTTTAAAAATAAATCCACTTTTAATTGTCCAATCTTTTCGAGAATAACTAGTAATAAAAAACGAAAATGAGCTTTTCTTTGACAGACCGTCTTGTCGAACTAAATGACGCCCGAGAAAAAGGGCTCATAACTGAAGGAGAATATAAAACTTTCAGAACTCGTATTTTAGAATCATTTTCACAAGTATCTTCCACAAATGCTACGACTACTACTGCTAGTATCAGTAATAATAATATTAATAATAATAATGACGAAAACAACAACACCAACAACAATAACAATAACAACAACAACAACAACAACAACAACAATAATAATAATAGTGATAATAATTTTTCTCAAGGCTGTCGGCCTGCCCCGCCGCCAATTCCACCTCCGCGTTCATTAACTAGCTCCACCACAAATGCAGCTTTGCCTTCATCGTTAAACGTGCCACCACCACTACCACCACCTTTTTCAACCTCAAATGTAATCATACCTATACCTACTGTTCAACGAGTTTCAACATTCGAAAATGCCTCAACATCATCTAGTCAAATATTTATCCCCCTGCTGCCATCTCACTCGAACGCGGCGGTTACCATGCCGAATTCGCCTCCGCCTTCTCCTCAACCACACTCAAGTGCCGCAGTGCCATTACCGTCGGGTATTCCACAAAATAGAATTTTACCTGACGCGGTATTACAAAAAAGAAGAAATGTACGATCATTTACCATTTCTGAGATTCCTTCAGATCAACAACAGCATGATAATATTCAAGGTAATAATTATATAAATAATCGGATAAATGTTTCATTGATGAAAGATCTTTGATAAATGATTCATACTTAAATATTGCTTTTTTAAAGAATTCGAGCATTCATTACCAGAAATACCGCCGCCTCCTTATACACCTCCAGGTAAGCAATCGATCATTCAGAATCTGTCACAAATAATAACAATTTCGTTTAATTCATTTTTGATTAGAAACAAGAAGACGTCGATCTTCAAGTTTTTTTAGACCAAAATCCGCAACAGAACTCCGTAAAGAATTGGACAAACTTAAAGAGGACGCAAAGCGGGAACAAGATTCTTGGAAGATGGAAGAAGCGCGATTATCCATGAGAATGGGCACAAAACCCGAGGAAATTGAACGAATTCGAAAAAGAATGAGAGATTCTGCAGAAAAATATAAGAAAAAGATTGACGTGGTCAGTTCGAAACTGAGACAGGCTATGATTGTTGAACAAGATTTTCGTTGAAAGATTCTCTCGTGAAGAAACATATTTTACTCGAACAAGGGAGTAATTAATAATTTAATGGTTATTTTGAAATATTTTTATCTTCTTTAAAACAATGCAAGCCGGCTTGTGATTCTCTTTTTCTATCTCTAAACTTGTATATAAACTAGGTGCTTTTTCATCTATGAGAAATAATAAAAGATATTTATTGCATGAACATCACATTTTCTATCTGCAAATCGATTATTTATTTACTCACATATGACCTTAGGAAATTAATTACTAGTTATTCGATCGATTATATTATAATAAGCGTAGGTTACATTCCTTAAGGTAATTATAAATAACCCTTTATTAATCTTTAATTAAAATCATTAATACATACATAAACTCACTCGCAATGATTAACAAAAGGGGATTACGTAACTGACAATAAAGTGTAGATGACGCTGGTTAACTTTTTTTTTGGTTTTCCAAAGAAAACAGAAAACAATAGTGTCCGCTTTTTTTTTTGGATGATTGGTTATGTTCTGGCTTGATATGAGCGAGCAAATCAAATTCATGATGATTATTTATATTTATATTTATATTTATATTTATATTTATAATTTTAATTTTTTATTTATTGATTTACAAATCAATTTACAAATCAATCAATTTATAAATTAATCATCGTTTAATTTATCAAAAAATAATCTAGCATCGTCACTTCCACTCACAAGCAATTTGGCCGACGGATGATAGTCTAAAGAATTCAGTGGAGCGCAGTTGAAGTTGTTTGGTAATCTTGGAATCTCGTCTCGGCCTCTCAAATAACTTGTTAACAGAGTCTTGGATAAATCTAGTATCGCTATACTTGCGTCTAATTTTATCATCATCACCATCACCATATAATGAATTGCATTTTCTCCAGAAAATCACATATAATTTAAATTCAAATTCTAATTCTCTACCTTCAGAGCAACTTAATACAGTTTCTGACCGATTCGGATGAAAAACGATATCCCATACTAATTATAAGGAAATCAAAAAGGCGGAGTAAGAAAAATTTGCAATTGCCATTGATCATAAATAAAAGCTTTATCATATATACTTGATAATTTATGTGGCTCAAACTTTTTTAAAGGTTCCACTAAATTTCGCGAGTCCCATATCGACACGACGCCATTAGCGCTTCCAGAAGCAAGTTGCATCGTCTATATATACATAAGTAAAGTGAAAAAAATAATAATGCTAATGTATGCAAATATAGTAATATAACACCTTATTTGGGTTTACAGTTAAACAAGTCAGACGATCCAGTCCTTTGCTACAATGGGAAATAATAATAATAATAATAATAATAATTAATATTTGTCAAACACCAGTAGAATACGTTAAAGATTAATAGAAAGTACCCTTCTGTCTTTGCAACAGCAACAGCTGTCCTTGGATTCCTTCGATCAAATTTTTTCAGTCTCCCGCCACTGGTAGCAATTACCTGCAAAATAATCGAGAAAGAAAGAGGGAAAAGGAAGAAATTTTCAACATACGATACACAAGCCGAGCGATCAAATCCAGTGTGTTGCTAGTAGTAGTAGTAGTAGAGCCAAAATTACAATTTCATGAGATGTTGGCCATACTAGCCCGTTTATTATACCAGTATCCGCGTCTAAATGGAAAAACGTATGATTGCTTTATCGTTAAGTAATAACATTTATTTATAACATAATTTGACCTACCAATTATCTCGGTCATCGTATCAGTAATCCTAGAGAACACAAGTTTTCCATCTTCGCCCACACTCGCGATTTCCAGATCGTCATTATTATCAGGCTCAATAGCTAATCCTGTGGCTGATACATAATAATTATTGGCTGTTGTCGACCAATTGTGTAATGTTTGACTCGAGATTTTTTCGAGTTCGATTATTTTTTCGGTTAACAAGTCAGTGCCATCACTTGTTTCTTGCTCGTTCAGATTTTCCATCTGTTATTGGTTTATTAATATTTAAACGTTTTTATTAATATTACATTTTTATTAACAATCATTTTTATAAAAAAACACGCACACAACCTCAACAAGTCGATATGCATTAATAGTACCACGCGAGGAAGCGGCCACCAAATAATTTGTCGATATAAAACACAAGTCACTAATATCACCAGGTTGCTTCACCTCCCCAACAACCTTTGTATCATACGCATTAAGTATCATGTGTAAGGGCGGTGGCTTTTGTTCTGCTTTCCAAAGAGATATCACGTTTTCCTAAGAATCATTAAATTGAAAAAAATATCGGACAATTTTTAAATCAATCGAAAGAGTCAAATTAATATGTCCCATATGTACTACCTCTTCCTCATCCCAGGTTCCACTTGCAAATAATAGTGTTGTATCTTCGTATCCAATAGAGGGAGCAAATCTAACTTTTGATACCTTTCCAACAGCACGTTCTGAGGGTAAATTTGTCATCATGATTTGGCTAATAGAAAAACGCGCGATATTCAGATTCGCCTTTAAATTTATTTATCATGTGACAGTTCTCGTTACACGAACCTGATTATAATTGTAATGATAATGTAACCGGCAAATATTCCTCGGAGAAAAATAGCACAATTTAATAATTTAATGCTAGTTACGATTTCAGATGGATACCTTAACGTTAACTTTCTAATATGGAAGACTCCAAAAAAAGTAACTCGCGTGCTAACAAGAACCAAAAAAAAAGCTATGATTCATGTGGGTAAATCAAATGCTGTCATTCTCCCTTTAACAACCAAAAATACTTATTTTTCAATTTCTTCAACAGCAAGCCTTGCAGGTTTGCAAGTAGCTCACAAACTCGAAGACTTTAACGATGGCCAAGAAAGAATCTTGGTACTCAAAGATTCAGGAATTCTTGACAACGAAGGTATGCCCTATATACTCGGCTAGTTATCGTCGCAAATTTTTATCAGCTTGTCAAAATTTTATAAAAAATATAAATTCTTTCCCGACGACAGCAGGAGACATGACATTGATACAATACAATTTTATAATAAAATAAATAAATAAATAAATAGAAGAGAGCGATCAACTCATTAGTATACAATTGGAAGAACAGGCGCGGCTTCATAAAAACCTGGAGAATAAGAAAAAGAAACCAGCATACGTTGCATACGACGACGAAGAATTTTTGTTTGGTGTTAGTAATAGTCAAAGATCTGGTACAGGCATATTGTCACATTATGATGAAGAAATTGAGGGTCCTAAAAAAAGCGTAAATTTCTCTTTTTTCTCTTCTGATAGATTTATTGTTTGTTATATTTGCATCACAAATACAAGCTGATTTTTTTTAAAATTTAGAGCTTCACACTCAGTAATGATGGGACTGCACAACTCAATGAAGAAGAGCGAAGACAACAAGTTTCAGAGAATTTGAAATCTCAACCTATTTCTTTGTCTTTTGACAGTAAGTAAAAAAAAAATTGTGAATTTTCTATTATTCCCATTGCATATTTTTGTTAATGTTGTATGCCTACAGAAATGCGAGAAATCAAAGATTACTATACCAAAGAAGAAGCCGATATGACATTTAAAAAATCAAAGGTAATAATAATATAAACATTTTTAATTTTTTTCAATTACTGATGCTTTCTTTTTTTTTACTAATAATAGGGCAAGAAGAAACGAAGGGTTAGAAAGAAATTGGTAGATGATGAAGAAACAGATTCTCAAAATCTCAATGTGCAACAGAAAATGGATGTTGATGCTACTAATTCAAATGGTGTCACTCCCACCATCAGCACTCCGAGTATACCACCAATTAGACGGCAACTCGATCTCGATGAAGATGTAAGCTACGTTGACGATGATGATCTTCAACAGGCTTTAGCGAGAGCTAGGAGAATGGCAAATAAAAAATTAATAAAAACAAGCGTCGATGACATTGCACGAAATTGTGGGTATATTCATTTTATAGCCTGTTCTATTTTTCTATGGTTTCTAAATATCAATTAATAATTTTTTATTAGTGACTCAAAATCGCGAACAAAACAATGACGAAGGTGATACTGCTCCCGGCGAACTTGTGATTTCCGATACAACAGAATTTGTCAATTCCCTCACTTTAGCACCACTAATAAATAAACGCGCAGAAGTAAATTTAAGAACCAGCGGCAGCGTATCCGCGGTCGCATCTTCGTCCAAAATTATCGAAAAGCAATCAGAAACGATAAACCAGGATGAGGAAGAGGATGTGGAGAATTTACCCGATGAAATGGCAGAAGAAGAGAAAAAGGGAGGCTGGAAGGCAGCTGGTATAGTAGAAAATCAAGATATGGCGCAAATCCAGGAAGAAACAAAATTGGTTAGTGATTTCTCATATCATATATATTTTTGGAATGTTCTAATATTTGTCCTTATAAAATAAATAGGCAAGTGTAGTTGAGGAAGAACCTTTAGTCAGCAGTGGTATGGCAGCCACTTTAGCGCTTTTGCAACAGAAAGGTATTTATTAGAAAAATATTCTCTGCATCTAATAATTTCCATAAATAACTTACGCATAAATACATATTCTATTTAGGATTTTCGATTAAACCATCCGACGAACAACTAGAAAAAGAGCGTGTTCAAAGGGATCGACAAAAATGGCTTGGCGAACAACGAAAGAAAGATGTCGAGAGACAAAATGAACGTGAACGCGAGAAACAAAGAGCCAAAGAGAAAGGTTATCGTGGAGGTGGTCGAGATAATGAAAGCACATATCGAGATCGAGAACATATGAGAGAGATGGAGGCTCGATTCAAAGATTATAAGCCGGATGTGAATCTTGAGTATGTGGATGAGTTTGGCAATCAATTAACACCTAAAGAGGTAAAAAAGACTTTATATTTCTCATACCGAAGCTTTTTTTAAAATTACTAATAAATAATAATAAATAAATATTTGAAAATTAAAAAGGCTTTTCGACAATTATCTCATAAATTTCACGGTAAATCATCGGGAAAAGCAAAGACAGAAAAGCGACTTAAGAAATTAGAAGAAGAACGTAAATTAAAAGCTATGAGCAGCATTGACACTCCATTGAACATGGCAACTGCGCTACAAGAGAGACAAAAAGCCAGCGGGAGTGCTCATGTGGTATTATCAGTTGGCAATCGAGCGTATGTATTCAATTATTGTGTCTTACATTTATATTGTTGTAATAATGTAATTTTGAATAATCAATAGTGTTGTTCCTCCGAGTATGGTGTTGAACGGTGGTAAACCCAACGCAGCAGGCTCTTCTCAGGCTATTAGTAGTCCAAGTATTATCACGGTCAACGGAGGATTAACAGGTCAGAGTATGAATGCACCAGAAAGAGAAAAGGTACCAATATTTATATCCTTTTCTTTAATTTAGTAAAGACTACTTTTTTTAAATATAACTTTATTATTTATTCTTAGGTTACGTTTGGACTGAAACGTAAAGCAGAAACTGATCAAGAAAAACCCTCCAAAAAACGATGAAGCTGAATATTCATTTTATGTCTCTTTCTCTCTATATAAACAGAATTCTCCGCATAATTATCGGGTAAGAATTACTTCCATAGAAATATATTTCATCGTCAGAGTAGAGTCTTATTAATGACAATTATTGCTGATTTTACTTAATCGAGGTAATAAAATTGCTTTTTTACACAATCAATTAAATATTCCGCTATGTACTTTTATATTCTATTCATAAGTTAGGTATTCCTTTCCACAACTTAATGAGGATTATTTTAATTTGATAATAAAATTTACACCAGAGTTAAGTATTTTATTTGACAAAAAAGGCTAATGTGATTTAATTTGATTAATAATAGTCTTGTACCTCCCTTTTACACATTAATTTAAGTTTAAAGGCAAGTATTTGAAAAGTTTACTCAATTACATACATAAGACGTGTTATCAACGATGATGATAGTCAAAGTATAATGATAGTTGTTAAGATAAACAATAACAGACTAATCGCAGCATTCTTATTATAAAAAGAATCAAATTTGCTAGAAGCTACCGCATTATTAGTATTTGATGGTATAGAGGTACGTGTCGATGTAGGTGTTGGTGTTAATGCAGCAAAAGTCATAGTTGATGAAGAGTAGGTAGTTTTCGATGACGTGGCAGAACTAGTAGTAATCTGCGCTGGTTTAACATCGTCATGAGCTGGAAGATGTGTACCTTGACCAATGATACCCCCTGAAATCGGTCTCATAATTGGGCGAGCTGTTGGCTTTGATTTTTTTGTTTCTTCTGGGGGAGGTTCAGTTGACGAAGGTAATATGTTTTTTGTCAGCTCTTCAATGTTGGGCATTTTTGGTTGCTTAAGTGCTGTTGTTGTGATTAATAGAAAAGAAATGGTGAATATAAGAAGGATTGTTGTTTTTATTAACGTAAAATGAGATTTCATCTTGATATTATTATCTACTTGAAGAGCTCGCTTGCAAAGAATACTTGCCCTATAAATAATGTATTAATTTGAATCATCATCATCGTTGACTGATTGAAGAATATAATTCTCTATCACTCATCACCATCATCATGTTTCAAATAATAATATAATAAGAATAGCAAGGTGACCTGATTTCTTTAATGCCGTTGATACTATTGTTTATTTAATCATAAAAAGATAAAGAGTGCAAATCAAAATGTCTAATATGCCAGTATTCTTGAAGCTAAACATAGTGTTCGAGATGTCTGTATCTTTATCATTTTATTTGTCACATACAATCTACAGATCATCGAGAAGGAATTTATTAATTGCTAATTAATTTTATTGTAGAGAGAAAGCGTGTAATACTTTCTCGTAATAAGCGTTTGATCACTTGTAGATATGTGTCGAATAATCCGATCAATAATTAATTTATAAAGTTTTATACTCTAGCCATTTAATTGATTCCGTGATGATTATATTCGTTATAACGTAATTAGTCATTTTGATAACGGATTTAAATACAATTTTCTTGTGCGTCTCAACCACTTCGTTATAACGAGACTTAACGGAACTCTGATAGTTCCGCAGACATGAAGATCCTTTTCAAGTTGTATAATCTGAATGTCTGATTGCCCTTTACCCTTACATTGACTCAAAGTAGTACTGATTCTAACATTTGATTTGCTTCGACCGCTTTGACTTTATCACTGATAGTACCAACAGTAATATGGGGGATCTTAATAATGCTCGCTATTTCAGGAGGATCGATTTCTCGCACTACTAGCGAATTGGAAATAATCTTGTTGATATATAAGAATTTTATTTAAATAATTTATCAATGCATTATGTTTTTTCATATACAGTCAACTCTCTAGAACGAACTAACGGTTCTGTTAGTAAAAAAAGTTCGTATATAAAATTACTATGTTTTGTATAGAGCTCGCTACTTTTCTATAATGAACTAATGGAAGATTTAAGGTTCATTATATCCAGGGTTCGTTATAGAGTCGACTGTATAAATAGTGACTTGCAATTGAGGGGAAGCTATTTAAGAATGTAAAAAACCTTTGTTAAGAATTTCTCCAATGAGTAAGAAATGATCTAACTTTGCGCACCTTAATCGAGATATTACTACTTAATAGAACTCTCTGATAGTTCCACAGACATGAAGATCTTTTTCTAGTTGTATAATCTGAATGTCTGATTGCCCTTTACCCTTACCATTGACTCCAAGCAGTGCTGATTCTAACATTCGATTTGCTTCGGCCGCTTTGACTTTATCACTGACAGTACCAACAGTAATATGGGGGATCTTATTAATGCTCGTTATTTCAGGAGGATCAATTTCTCGCACCACTAGCGCCATTAGTTGCGAATTGTATATAATCTTGTCGATATATAATTCGACTTTGTACGTTTTATAGTCGTTATCGACCATGTTTCTGTATTCTTCCCATAATTCTTGAAATTCTTGCGATCCACTTTTACGAAGTTCCGTAGCATGAATTAAAGTGACGTGGTGTTCGCGACGGATTCGCTGATTCCTTTGGAGAGTTTCGAAAAGAGTGTTGTTATCCAGTTCTGGTAAATTTTTCAGATAATCTTTGACATCCAGTTCTACCGCGATGCCGTAATAAAGGGGTGGCTTTTTTCTACGCGCAGCTGAACTATCTTCTGCGAACTTTTGTGATTTCTTGCTGCTGCTCTTCCGATTGGCAGTTTTCCTTTTTTCTTGTAAAATAACATTTTTCTTGACAGTTGGTTGATATTCTAGTGCGTAATTGATCGCTTTCTCGACATAATGTTCATCTGGAATTTCAATTCCAAGGATAGATGATAATTCGTTGAAAATTGTATCGAGAGTTGATTGGATATCATTCAGCGGGTCTAAATCGATAACCACATCAAACTGATCATCGACACCATTATTGGAATCCAGCGGCTGGAAATCTTTAAGGAATTTCCAGATGATATGCTCGAAACTCGGATTTTCTGGCGTTAACGATTGATGTGCTTTTCCGCGAGAGATTACACGTTTGGAAGTGGCCTCGAAAACTTCGTTTAGATTGTGTTCGCTATGATTCCAATAAAGTGCAACCACTTGAATATTTGGATATACGGTTTTCACTGCCTCAATCAGAGTCTTTCGCAGTTCAGTAAGGTGATTATTTCTATATTAGTTATCGTAATAAGATAATATATATTATTAGCGAAAAGTTCAAGAGCACAAAATACTATTACAATGAAAACGCGGAATCATATTAACCTGTCAGCAATGACCACGTCATGAGATTCAAATTTACTCTTGATTGCTTCGTGAAACTTATATCGAGCTTTCTTTCCGACCATATCATCATTTTGAATATGACCAAAGTTAAAAAGCTTTCCTAATATTAGAGAAACAGCAGTTTTTCCTAATATTATACGAAAAATCAAATGTTATTAAATTTATTCAATAGAAAAGAAATATAATTGTTTTATTTAGACATACCACAACCAATAGTTGCAACTGGCACAAGTAAAGTCTTCTTAAACATCCTACGTTCCTCTTTTGGAATCTTTGGAATTTCCTCCTTTGGACTTTTTTCTGAATCACCACGAGAAGTCCATTCTTCCAGAAACATATCCCGAACTTTAATTATACCAAGTCCCTTAGAATAATCTTTGAATAACTCGGGATCTGTCTTTAATTTCTCTTTCACCCAATCAGCATAATATCGACTAAGCGTGTAAGTAGAGCGAGGTTTTTTATTCGCGAGTATAGCTTTGGTGAGCTCACGCCATTCTCGATACATCAGATAGGGTTCGTCGTATTTGATTTTGAAAAAGAAGTCTTGGTGCTCTCTTTTGCATCGGACGACGAAACCTTCGATGGGTCGGCCATCTAATAAACGTTGTTCTTTGACATCGTCAGTGAATCTTTTCACCTCTTCTGCTGTCTCTTTTATGTAGTATTTTGTCGTGATAAATCCCCAGTACTTTGCAAAGGCAGTCACTTTATTACTAGACCAAGTTTGCAAATCTATTGTGTTATAATTGACTCCGTGAAGATATAAACCACTCTTATCAAGAGGATATGGAAGTACATGTTCTTCAAAGTTATCATCACAAAGCTATATATTATCAAATACATGATATTAGGATGAATAATGGCCAAAATATTCTTTTGATAATAATGCGAGAAATTCATTCAAAATGGAATAATACCTCTGCTATTGCTGTTAAATTATGTTCATATAGATAATTTGCTAAATCCTCTTTGGTTTTGCCAACATTTTCTAGGTGTCTCTCAAGCCATTGTTCACCTTTTTGTGCATGAGAAACAGGCACGTCAGTTCTAGCACCATGAGAATGCTTGCTAGTTACAATAATTTCTCCCTTTGGAAGACCACTAATGAATATGATACAGCCATTTTCTTTAATTGTAACTTCATATGGACCTTCTGTGTTTCGATAAATGTTTTCCCACTGAAATTCCCAAAACCAGAAATGATGATATTAAAAAATTCAAAAAAAAATGAAAAATTGATTTCAAGTCTAAAAATAATAAATACCTTTGTCGACTCCATTTCGCCAATATTAAAGAATTTGTTATACCCTCGAATGACAATTTCGTATTGATTATTATCTTTTCTAGTAAATAAGCCTCTTGCCATTGTGGGAACGAGTCCTTTCTTATAATCCCATTCATTCATTTTCCAAGAAGATATCACAGTCCCAGAAATAGGAGTCACGTAATCAGTTCTCTTTGCTGGTTTTCCTCGTCGCATGTACTTGTTTCGAGTTATTTTTTGCTCTGACATTGCTTGAAGATTCTTGACGAGCTCATGTGTCTTCTGTCTTTCTTGAGGGCCTGGTATGTAGGTTGGAAAGTCGACGTCTGACATTTTTATTTGATTTCTTCCTTACGAAAATGACTACTATCAGAGTGTATTTGAATAGAAAGAGCTGCCGAAGAATTTGATTTTTTCTTTATGAAGATGACTACTATCAAAACGTATACGTAGTGAAAGAATAATTTATCAACACGCGTTGAAATATTTTAAAAATCTGATGAAACGCAGCAAAAAAACTGCGCATATCACATATCAATTTGCATGTAATGCGCAATTCTAGTTTCATTATGCATAGTATTGCCAGTTTTCATTGAAATTTATGTAATTGTTACTGAATGTGTTTGGTTCGTGAGATTGACAATTTTTACCTAAAGAATTGAAATCCACGCTGATATCTCACTTTACTTATAGAGAAATAGGGTTGGCTCAGTCAAAACAATAAAGCTTTGGCTTTTTATATCTTATCATTCACCGACCCGACCACGGGAGTGAGAATATGCTCAACTCATAACTATAATATTTCTCACACTTAGATTGTTTCCTCCCGAATAGACAACTTTTTTTGAAAACTTGACCAGAATTATGACATCGGAACATTCAGCATAGAGTTTCATCCTGTGCGAGCATGTGCCTGCATCGTTATAATTAGGGGATCGGTTCGTAATTTACCGAAAGCTAATATAATAGCACATTACACAGAGATAATACAAAAAAAGGAGGCCACCACTTTGTAGTTAAGCCAATTTACTATAATTTAGCGACCTTTTTTTTAAAAAAAAATATTGTTCATTTCTGACTTAGGCGACATCAAGTAAATTTATTGGTTTTCACATCATAATATAGTTCCGTGATACCTGCCGACCCGGTTTTTTATTTTCCAAATGAAGATCCTCCTCTGCCAAATGAAGGTCCTCCTCTGCCAAATGAAGATCCTCCTCTACCAAATGAAGATCCTCCTCTACCAAAGCCGCCACCACCGCCACCACCGCCACGACCATATCCACTTTCTCCCATAGGTCTTCTTGGTAGTCTGTCCTCAGAAAAACCACCAAATGAAAATCCTCCATGTGAACTGGGTTGTCGATCCCGTCCCATAGGTCTTCTTAGTGCTCTATCCTCAGAAACACCACCAAATGAAAATCCTCCACGTGAACTGGATTGTCGATCCCGACCACCAAAACCTCCGAGCGATCTAGGTGCGAAGGCACCACCACCTCTTAATGAAGATCTTCCCAATCCTAGACTTTGCGTCATTTTAGCAGGCAGACGTGGCATCTCAGTAACACCAAAGGCTCCACAAAATTCCATCCCTAATTCAAGTAAAGAATCTTTACGAATCTTCAATAGATCGGCTCTTGCCATATCTAGTGAAAAATAAAGAAGCTAATTGTAGCTAGATAATTATAAATAACACAGAAAAAGAAAAAATACTTACAATAACCTAGAAACGCTTTAAATGCATCATTTACCATTTCAATATCAATAGTTTCAACAGCACGTTGAATGCGATTATCTTGTTTTATCTCAGGAACTTGCAATGGCTTAATTGGCAAATCCTTAATGGTATTTGTAAAATTTTTTTCGAAAGGAGCCAATACTAATACACCTTCGCCTTCTCTACCAGCACGCCCAGTCCTACCCAGTCTATGTATGTACTGTTCGCGCGAAGAAGCCGCGCCTACCTGTAATACTAATGTTACTCCAGGATAATCCACTCCACGTGCAGATACATCCGAAGTAACAAGCATTGCATCACTGCTTAATTTTCGAAATCTATCGGAAATTCTTGTCCGTTGTTGTTGATTAAGACCAGACTGAAGTTCAAAAACTTCAATGTCTCCAGTTATTCTAAAAATCTCTGCATAAAGTTCAGTTCCTTTTCGCGTAGGTAGAAACATCATTATTTTTCCTTCAGGATGTGACCTTCGGTGATCAAGAACGATATTTCGGATTGTTTTCAGATGAATTTCCCATGGTGTTATTGCGTACGACTGTTTTACTTGAAGATTTGTGTTTACATCATTCGGGTCAACTGTGTCAATAAATGTGTAATCTTTTCTTAAAGCAAAACTTGCCACTTTTCGTATCTCTGGTGATATCGTCGCGGAAAATAGAAAAGTTTGCCGATCTCTTGGAAAATATCGCATGAGGTTTTCGATATCTTGGCGAAAGCCCATTTCGAGTAATTGATCTGCTTCGTCGAGAATTAACTATACATACATATATATATGTGTGTGTGTGTATGCATTCGTGTAGAATTAAAATAAGATTATTCATAGCAATGTAACTATTAAAAGATCGACAACAAGAATTCTATCGTACCGTTTTCATGCCCGAGCATTGGTTTCGAAAGTCAGGCATACTTTGTAGTAAATCCGTTAATCTACCTGGCGTACCAACAACTACGTCAACACGCCTTTGCATTAAACCATGCATTTGTCTTCCCTTTGGCTCGCCGCCTACCAAAGTATGCACTTCAAATGGATGAAATCTACTTAATCGTTTTGCTTCCTGCGCAATCTGTTGTGCCAATTCACGCGTCGGAGATATTACAAATATTGACACGTGACGCGTTCGATCATTGGGATCAAGATGTTGTAGTGCTGTCTCGAAAGCAGGGATTAGAAATGCAAGAGTTTTACCGGTACCCGTTTTAGCTTTTACAAATAAATCTCCTCTGATGGGTGATTGTGATAAAACAGCATCTTGAACCTTTGACATTGTTTCATATCCAAATTCTTGTTTGAGAGCTTTTTGAGTTAATGGGGAGATTGCTGTGATAGAATCGAATCGGACTGGAACATATTCACTAGAATCAACAATTTCGGTGCCTGTGTAATTTTTATCAACTGGATTCAGATCCTCAACATTTGTTGGTTTTGCTTGGATTATAGAATTTGTGTGAAAATAATTTACTCGAACCAAATTATTCGAAGATATAAATAATGCGGGTGAGTTATGTACAAAGCTGAAGTTACGCGAGCCAGTAAATTTACAAACTAAGTAAAAGCAAATTTACAATAATAAACTGGTTAGATCGTGAACTGAAATGTATAATAGCAGAGTTTGTTTATCCGCGAAAACTCAGAAAACTGAACTAAAGAGACATTGAAATACAAACATAGTAATGACAATTGTGACTTTAATTGAAATATTGGTTTATTTTTTACAACTGTTCCGAAAACAATATTTGTTAAGGCACTTTGATTAGTTGTAGGTGTCCAGCTTCGTACGTTCCTTATTAGATTAGGTGCGAACATCTTTAATAGTTTGTTCGATTCAATTTTAGAGAAAATTTTTTTATTGATACACGCGTCATACAGAACTTTCATTAAAAATACATGTGATATTAATATTACTGGTTTTACAAAATTTGAAATTTTTAGTGAGTCATTCGGGGTCATGAGAATTTTATCTCGGAGGGATTTCATAATGACTCATTGTTTGAATCAACTATTTGACAAAGTTTTTTCATGATAGATATTGAACTATTCCGATATCCACCTCCAAATAAATAATAATGATTTAAGTAATGATAAAGTTGATAAAGTTCTATATTGAAGAAGGAAATTTTATTTCTTAAGAGAGAAGAAAAAAGTCACCAATAAACCGAAAAAATTTTACCTTGACGTTCCTCAAAAAAAGGTTCCTGACGTGGATGATGAGTATGATATTCTTTAAAGAAATCTAATATTGAAAAACAAATCTTAGTACATTTATCGAAAATATATGAATTAAATATTATTACCATATGAAGGACTTCCAAACATTGTCATAATACTCAATTCCATTTCACTGTGACCATAACAAGCGGCTGGATCGAAGATCACAGGTTCATTTGTCGTTGAATCGATTGCCCAATTGCCACTCCATAAATCACCATGAATTAATGCAGGTTTTACTTCAGCATCTTTTAATAAATGATGTACAACTTTATCAACAACTATTTTGCCTAATCTTTGCAATTCTGCATCTCTTGAATTATTCTTTAGACAATTCGCTATCATAGGACGTAACCTTCGCTCCTTATAGAATGTTTCCCAATCTGCTTCCCAACTATTATCTTGTGAAGTAGTACCGCACATTGTTACTACTGGAAAACCGAACATTCTGTTATGTGATGTAGCTGAATGTAATTGTGCTAGTTTTTTTGCAAAGAGAATTTGCTGGTTTCTTGTACTTGCTGAATTGAGAGACACGAACACGGTTGCTAGGAATGCGCCACCATTTGGTAGTAGCCCCTTGCATAATGGTTTTGGTGCAAATTTTGGCACAGCTTCTGATATTACTTTCAACGCTTCAGATTCCCCTTCAAACATAGTCAAGGAATTCGGGTCAGAATTCGTCTATAATTTTTCTTTAACTCCGTTAATGCCAGTCCATACACGAACATAATAAGAACCCTAATTATATTTACCTTAACAAATACGTCCCCTTTATCAGTATCAACTTTATACGCGTTATTTAAACAACCTCCAGAAATTGAAGACCAGCCAAATACCTTTTCACATACATTAGAAGCTTGAAGAGCCTCAACGATTGCTTTTGGGACCATTAGAAATAAAACAAAAAGGGTTAAAAAATTTTGGTTTAGGATTATACAAAATGTATAATATACAGTGGCTCGTCCTACCCCAAATTCTGATTGGACGCAAGTAATTTCCATCGCTGATTGGTTGACTGCAAAGATAATAAAATTAACTATATCTGTAGCACATTTAATGATTGGCTGAATTCAATTCTGCATAACACCATTGTTACTTACACATTACTCACATAATTCTACTAAGTTAAAGATAAAAGAAACTAAGTTTAATAATATGAAAGAGATTTAAAATTATATTATTATGATATAAATTTTTATTATCTTATATTTTATTGGATAATTCATATTATAATATTATTGAATAATATTTATTAATATCTTATTGAACACTAATTAGAAGAGATTTTATTCATTAATATTAAATGGTAGAATAAGCAATATAATCATAACAAAATAATCCAAGCTAACAATTTGATCATAGCAAAAAAATAATATGATACTAGCAAAACAAATAATTAGATTCTAGCAAAAGTAGTAATAGTATCATAGTAAAAATAGCATTCATAAAATCATCAAATATTATAAAAATAATGTAACTTAGCTAGTAATTTATAATAACTTAATAACTTAATTTACTTGATAATAACTTTATAATAAGTTTAATAAAATTCTTGTTTGATAGAACTTTAATAATAATTTAATAAAGTTATATTTGATATTAATTTTGATCTTGAAAAATAGATTGATATTAAATAATCAATTTGTTATACAGTAACAATCAAAAAGAATGCAACACTTGAACTAAATTTTTTAAATATATTTATTTAGGTAAATTTATAATAAAGTTTGTTTTTAATTAATAAATACAATGTATCAATAGGGTTTATTTAATAATTTAAAATCTAATTTATTATTATTAATTTCAACATTAAAATATTATAATATTTTTAAAAAATTAGTGTTGCATTATTTTTGAATTTTTTTGATAAAGCAACAGATCATCATTTATAGCTACACAAAAATCATAAGAATTACATTTTTAACCAATTACATATTTTCCCGTACCTCATGTTGCAATTATTCGGCGAGAAAGAAAAGGTATCAAAACGTCATACAACTCCAGATGAGCGAGCCCAAATAATCCTCTTTCTCCAAAAAGACTACTCCACAAGAGAGATAGCTAGAGCCTACAATATCAATAACTCCACCATCTCCTGTATTAATAAAAGGTGGCGAGAAAATCACTCTCTCAATAATGCAAGTATTTCCGATCATCCATTTAAAGATGGCACAGCAAGTATGTGATGCTTATTTGTCACTCATTGCAACACATTGTTACAATTGGAAATTCCTATAATTTTCATAATTTTCATAATTTTCATAATTTTCATAATTTCCATAATTTTCATAATTTTCATAATTACCATAATTTTCATAATTCTTATAATCTTTATAAACTCTAAAAACATCATAA